CCTTATATGTATATTCTCATCCCTACCTAGCACGAGGCCTTTTGGGAGCTCACTAGCTTCGGGTTTCATGGAAACTCCGAAGTTAAGCGAGTAGCTCGCGAGAGCACTCCCATGATGGGTGACCCACTGGGAAGTTCTCGTGTGAGTTCCCAGAAATAAAACCGTGAGGGCGTGGTCGGGGCCCAAAACGGATAATATCGTGTTACGGTAGTGGAGCGAACCCCGAAAGTGATCCGCCCCGGGCCGGGATGTGACAAATAATAACCGCCAGAAAGTAAAATAATAAAATAGTCAATTTCTGTCGGTTATAACCGCCACCATTAACTTAAAAACAGCCAAAATCTGTAAAAAAATATTTAAAAACAAAAGATTCAAAAATACTGTCGGTTATAACCGACAGTATTTTTTTGATATTCGCCACTAAATATCCGTCAGGACTTTATGTTGGATATAACCGACATAATTTTTCTAATATCCGCCACTAATTAAATGATGTGTCGAATATAATTTATCCGATAGAATTTTTCTAATATCCATCACCATCATCCGCTATCTAAAGCTAATATTGCAATAGTGTCATCCAAAAATCCACATGTCGTCTTCATATTTTTCTTGATTATTTTTTGCTCCACACACATGATGAATGACATACAAACATGGGAATATGAGAATTTACACTTGATGAGATACAAAAACTACGATCACGTGACAAGTGATATATACTCACATAGGTGGGAATATAAGGAATGTACATCCGGTGATGACATGCAAACATGTACCGCTTGTTTAATTGGGACTCAAACATCCAAGCTGGGGCATTTGATTTGATGCCTTAATTCCAAGTTTTATATGATTTGATATGTTTATATATACCGGATGACGTGCAACATGTTCCCCTTGTTTAATTGGGACTAACATTTGTCATTTGATTTGATGCCTTAATTCCTAGTTTTATATGATTTGATATGTTTATGTCACACACACACACACACGTGTGTGTCTTTGTCCATTTTCTTTGACATGCTTAGGTTTCTGTCCAATGTATCAGACATACAAGCTTTATCTGTCAAACATATTATATTGTGTCATTTCATTCTATCTTGTTAATTGTCTTCTTCTTCTTAGTACCCTTAACCTTTTAGATTCGGAAGGCACATAAATCCAAAGCTATATTATATATATATATATATATGAGAAATGCTAAGAAGACTCTCGAAAAGTGAGAATCTCTATGAACTTTCTGTTACCTTATAATTTCATGTCAATTCACATACTAATATTATTAAAAATTGTATTAAAAACATAAAGTGACAAAAAAATCAATAAAAAAAATCTCACTTTTCATAGTCATTTTAGCATTTCTCTCTCTCTCTCTCTCTCTCTCTCTCTCTCTCTATATATATATATATATGTATGTATGTATATATCCATGATTTACTATATTGCATGGTTTGGAAAGGTCGCGTTGTAGGTGGCCTTATATATATATATATATATATATATATATATCCATGATTTACTATATTGCATGTTTGGAAAGGTCACGTTGTAGGTGGCTATATATATATATGTGTATATATCCATGATTTACTATATTGCATGGTTTGGAAAGGTCACGTTGTAGGTGGTTTTTCAGTCATGGGCTTCGGGAATGAGATTTGGTATGAGAAATTATTAGCAAGCCGAAAGAGCAGGATGCATGCTGCGGCTATATATATGGACCACCGTAATTCTTAGGAATGATTCTGCCGACACAATGATCTGACACGGAATATATGGTACCCCTTTTGTATATTATATATGATCCTTGGCGGAACATTAGTTGAATCATTTGTTGCCACATTAGAATGATGAGAATTATCATGATCGTAATATTCCAAAAATGATAGAAATATATCCCACAAAACCTCTTTTTTTTTAGTAAGAAATGTAATTTTTTATTACTAACATTAACAATAACAGTTACAAGAATTGCCAAATGAGTACAATATTCAGTGACCAAATATCAGATATGGAACGCACAAACAAGCAATGATTATAATCTCCTAATTGACTGCCACAAGCGCACACTAGCACTAGCATTCTGATACAAATATGTCACAAATATGGCAGACACAACAGACTTATACCAGAACACGTGTTAATGCCTCATCATTCACTAGGCGAGGCATTATCCGCTAAATGCTTATATATGTCCATTATTAATACATTATACGATTCATTTGCATTAAAAATCGACAGTGTGGCTCACTTAACAATTAACATATACATGAAGCTCCATGCTTTTTATCCCTTATGAAAAGCTAGTGATAAAATGTAGTTTATTACATATGCAAAGTAATATAGTGCTACAACCCCAGCTTTTGTTGCCAAGGGTCAATGGCAATTGTCCTATACGATTGTGGTAGATTTTAATAAGCGCACAATGATAGGTTGATTAGCTTCATATTCCATGTTTAAGGGGATCATGAGCCATATTACGCCGTAATTACTTGTTTAATGATACCTTTAAAAGGTACATATATAATTAATTTTGGAAAATGCTTTTATAAAGTGGCTTCAATTCCTCTTATATTTTAGGCCATCAAAGGCATCCTCTTTCACGTGGAAGTATTCACTTCTCGGCAGTTTGCATTATCAGGTGCAATTAACATCAATAGTAAACAACTAAACATAAGGAGAGAAACTGTTTACGATCAAGTCACAAGACTCGCAACAAAGGTGAATTATGTGTGTCTTCACATGGTTGAGGAAAGAAAAGTGCATAAAGATTACACGCCACACACCAACATTTAGATTTTGGAAGTTAATTTGCATATATTTCTTTAAATGGTAATAGATTATCATATAAAAGGCATCTTAATTTAGAAGAGGGATCTCTATGTTTGTTTGTGAGATTCACTCTCATTGTATTTCAATTTTCAACTATTCAAACCGTCTATTTTTTAAGTCACAATTCATACAAACTGATCGGAATGTTCAAATACAACGCAAAGCACGAACACTGGGAACCCCTCCTCCCATACGGCCAATATATATCTAGCAATGCAAGTCAATATTGTTTAATAATTCTCAAATCCTATCTCACTAAGAAAGCTCTCAAGATCTGCAAAGTTCTTCATGCATGTGCAGTAGGATCTTCCTTTGAAAACTGTATGAACTTTTATATGTAAGGTGATAACCGTGTCAGCATTTCAAGAAAGTGAGGAGAGTTTGAGGAATAACAGTTTTAAATTCAAAGTATTATTTTCTTTTGACAATTAGATTCAATGGGCGGTTTGTCCTAATTGTTACCTTATCACTAACATGTTAGTAAAAGTCGATTAGTAAATGGTAACATGGACACAACAAATTAAATTGAGGAGAACACACTCCCTATAAAAATATTGGGAAATTGGCTGTATTAAAACAAATTTAAACAGGCGGTGCCGAATTAGAAAGATAGGAGGTGGTGGTTATAGAACTTTTTGGCATGCGAAATGAATGAAAAGAACTTGCTTATAAGCATTTATATCAACATGATTAGTCCTGGTATTTTCTTGCACGCCTTTTACCCTAACGCGAAACAGCACGAAAATAACAAGTTATGAGTCAACCCATTAACTAGTTGGGCTGTCATCAGGTCACTCGTTAAGAATCTGTTAACAAGTCTAGTCGTTATCGAGTCACACGTCAAGAACCCGTTAAGATAACAAATACTGACACATAAGCAATACCAAAATGACCCGTTTGCCAGGTTTAGACATTAAGCATGACAATTTCTTGCATGGCTCATTAACCTGACACGAAATAAGACCACCTATAACGAGTCAGATCATTATAGGATGACTGGTATGACAAAAAAATTACACAAACCTAACCCGCTTTCCAGGTCTAACACGAACTACATGAATGACAAACACAATTTCAGATTATTTCGAATCATCCTCTCTAACCTCTGGAGCTTCGTTTATCGTGATCACTCCCAATCGGCACTGCTACGAAACTATGGAATCGCCATATCTGCCTTAAAAATATAATCAACATTACAACTAATTGGGTTCTATATCATCATGTTCAGTGATTGATGTTAAGCTTCATTTATCCTGTGTCGAATTTGTCAGATCTGAAATATTCTGTGTATTATTGTGCTGAGATGGGTGAAAATAATTGCATGCTCAAGTAGATTCTATATCGGAGGTAGGATATCATGTATTTGTCTGTGTTCTTGAATTGATGTAGTATGTGTTTGGATAGAAAGATGGAAGTTTGACAATAAACTTATTCTTTAGAAAAATCTATTTAAACAGATGTTTGGTTCATTATAAGAATCTCAATTGTTAACAAAATCGTTGATTTATCTTACATATATAAATGATTGAACAAGCATCAATTTAAGTGATTTTTTACAAAGATAATCTTTAAATAATGCTTAAGAAAATAAACAATTTGATTATAACAATTATAGTTGAAATATGTCAACCACAACTAAATGGACAAAGGATTTCACCACGGAGTGAACACAACTGCCACAGTTTTTTATGCTTAAGTAAACAATTTAGGTATAATTACAAGAATTAAGATTCTTTGCAAATCTCTATGATGGAGGCCAAGAACCATAGGTCTGGGCCGTTGAAGAGAAATATCCAGACTCTTAGTTTGTGTGAAGTGGATTAGTGAAATAGAGTCAAAAGCCATAAAATTTAAAAGAGTAGTTCAGATTTTCTGATTCCTAGACTCCGATTCCTAAAATCAATTCCAATTACGAAAGAGTTAAGGGGAGTGCTATTCACACACCCCCTTTTGCTTCCAACACACCTTTGTTAATTTTTATTCATTGATCTTCTTCAATTCTTTTGATCCAACGATTGAAAATTGAGAGAGGTGTATAAGGGGTAAAAGTTTGTGTGTGGATAGCACCATCCAAGAGTTAATTGGATGTCACACTCTTTGCACCCAATCGCATTTGACCAAGTATTCCAAGCTGCCACCCTATATATTCCCCAAAGTTCAAAATTCCATCGACCTTCAGAAACAGAACCACAATTCTTTGCGCCTTCTCTCCCTCTGCAAATCGCGATGGCGCTTTCCGCTGCGTTCCGGGAACGACTCGAACACATGGAGCATACCCGCAACCAGCGCCTCTCTCTTCTTCAGGTCACATCACAAACCCTAACTTTCTTAAATCATGTTTGGTTGCTGAGAAAAAAAATTAAAATTTTTAATTTCGTCAAATTTTCCACGCTTTCTCAGCTGCCAAACAGATGGCCGCGGAGTCTCACTTATTCTTGCTTTGGTTGCAGGCGGAGAAAGAAGCGCAAGAGAACAAGTCTCAGGTGTTGGAGATGAAGCTCGCAAGCATGAGGGCCACGGAGCAGAGGTGCTTAGCGCTCGATCAAAAGATCGCATCGCAAAGCTTCAAAATATGGGCGCTCAGGTCCGAGATCGATCACCTCGACGAGAAATATCGATCCGATTCACATCAATTGAGGTATTTTCTTATTAATTTCTCAATTGATTAAATTTTTGGTTGCTTGATTAATTAATTAGGTTAATATTGGGATTGGAATTGAAATTGAAATGGGGATAATTTTAGGGTTTTGAAGAGTGAGGTGGAGGAGCTTGAGGAGTTGGAGAAGGAGAAGAAGAGATTTTATGAGTTGAAGGGATTTGAAATGAAGGAGTTCAAGCAAAATGTGGAGTTGTTTGCTTTGGAATGTCAAATGCAAGTTCAAAATTTGAAGAAAGGCATCAATGAGGTAAAAGATTATAGCTCTAGATGCAAAGGAAGTACTTGAATACCAAGAAAACTCGAGTGGTACAACACTTATTCTCTCACGTGACCAACGAAAATTTTCACTTATAACTTCTCATTTTTAATGATAAAACACTTAATTCTCACACGACTTACGATAGTTTCATTTTTAAGTTCATATCTTTAGTAGTAGAGCAGTCATTTCCAGGCGCAATGACGAGATTTTCCTTCTTATAAACTTTGGCAATGTGATTTCATCAGTTTGATCATGAAGAGTTTTAATTTAAGCTGAGATGTTTGATCTTTGTTTCAGATTCAATCGAACTTTGTCAAATTCCAAGGGAGTGAGAGATGCACAAGTAATGGTGAGATAGCTGCAGCTGAGAAGAGAAAGTGTGAGCTTTTATCTATGAAGGAGGAGCTGGACAGAAAGTTGGCTTCTAACTACCAAACAAAAGCTCAATTGCAAAAGCAGTTTCAGGATTTTATCACTAAACACAAACAAGACACAAATTACCAATTATGATATGCTTGTATTGCCTCTATTGTGATTGTGAGTTCATCATGTATATTTTAAGTTCTGATAATTTGCAAATTATAATGCAATTTGCAAAAGAAGAAAGAGAGTTTTTTTTCATTCTCTTTTCAAAGTTGGAAGAGGTCTAATTCAAATCACTTTGTCCTCGATTAATCAGGATAGAATGGAAAAAATTTAGTTTATGGTCTTATTACGATTTTCCCAACTTTCAATTTCGGTTTGTCAAGCTTTAGTCATTTTTAGGTTTTTAATTGCATCACGACAGTCTTAATTTATATCAAGATTCATTTATAATCAGATTATCGGATATGATTCATATTTGGATTATTGAATTTACTTGTCATTCCATATTCGACAAACATTAGATGGTCCGAATAGCATTATACAAAAAAAAAAAATTAACGAAAAGCTCTCGGTACTATTCACTTTAACGAAAAACCATATTTTTACACTAAAAAGTCAATCCTGGTACTATTCACTTTAACCTTTATTTTGTCTTTATCGTTAAAACTCAAAGTTTTCAAGCTATTTTCATTAGTTTTTCTAAAAATACAATTTGGGATACTCATAACTAAATTAAAAGTTGAGATGACAAATTTATTTGACATTGCTGAATTCTCTCATAGAAAAATAGGGATTTTTGGCCCATGGGCTTCACAGAATCACTGTTGGGTCATTTTGTTCCCAAGCAGCTCATTACCAAAGCCCAAATTACAAGCCCTAAGAATCATCCACGTGTAAAACCCTCACGACATTAGCAAATCAAACGCCGAGTCCAGAACCTTCTTGGAACAATAAATGTCCCGATCTGCCCCTCCCAACTCCCTCCCCAAGCTTCTAGCATTTTCTGCGACACCCAAAACATAAGAACCCTTACAAAATTTTACAGCCCATTACTCTGGATAAGGAACTAGCAAACCAAAGCAAGAAAATGGCGGAGGAAGTGGCGCTGGATGTGGAGGAGCTCCGCCACCTTCAGAGCATCGCGAAACGACCCCGTGTGATCGACGTCATTTCCTCTGAGATTCGCACTTTAGAGAAGAAGGTCCCCATTTTTTTTTGTATCTCCACTCTTTTATTTAGTAATCAGCATTTGCTTTTTAATATATTTTTTTATATGTCTCTAACTTGGGTAACTAAATTTTTGCCACAATATGATTGCTTTGGTAATGTCCCCAATTATTTGTGTGAAATTTGGTTTTTATTACATGACCCACAAAAAGAAATTATGAAAAAGTTGTAATTTATTTTAGAATTTAGTATGAAGTGAATGCTTAAGAGAAAATTTTTTAATTTGTCGGGAACATGAACCGGTGCATCGTTTAATAATACAATTGATTTGAAACTTTGAAAGAAAAAAAATAATTAATTTACAGCCAATTATATCAGGACATTTGGTGTACTGAACAGTGTTTTAGCACAATTTCTCAAAATTTGAGCTCAGTATAATTTATGCCTATGGATTCTTTTCATCTGTGCTGTTGAAGTTTGATTTGGCATGTGGTCGCGCCATGTACCCATGTTCGAATCCCCCATAGACTAGTTTAGAATGTCAAATTTTTTATTTCAAAACAACTTCATTATTTTGTCTTAGCTTTGGCGTTTTGAAATGTTGTAATGCTTGAAATAGTATAAAATTTTTATGGTATCTTGTAAGGGATGAGCCCATGTTAGGATCGTATGAACCCGCCATTTCTAGGCCAGATGTGGAATCGTGCTACGTTTGGTTATGGGATCATGGTAGTTAATGTAATTTTTGATCGTTGCAGTTGTCACAAGAGGCTGTTCCTTCACCTGCATTGCAAATCCCAACTCCAGCTTCAACTGCTACTGCCACCCCAGCTCTGCATTACACTACGCTTTCGTCGTTCAGCTGGGACCAGGATAATGATAAAGTGAAGGTGGGAACGTATTCCCTGTGTGTTTTTGCGTTAGGTTTAGACTGGTCATGTGTTTTCCAATTGCTAATTTTAGGTTTCTTCTGTGTTTCTCGTGTCGGTTTGATCACCTTTCCATTTCTTGCAGATATACATTTCTCTGGAAGGAGTTGATCAGGAGAAGATAGAGGCTGACTTCAAGCCTATGTCGTTGGACATCAAATTCCATGATGTGAAAGGAAAGAATTACAGGTTCGTTTTGCCTAAGCTGAACAAGGAGATTAATCCAGAGAAGTGTAAGGTGCTGGTTAAGCCTACAAGGGTTGTTATCAATTTGGCTAAAACTTCAAAGGATTACTGGTTGGACTTGAAATTTAAGGAGGATAAGGTACATTTCATCGTATCTTTTGTACTCTCCTGTTTTATGCTTTGGCGAACGGCGGAAATGGGAACTCATAGTATCATTTGGACTTCCCCGTTTTATGCTTTGGCAAATGATGAAATGGGAACTAAATGTTTTAACGTTTTGGTCTTGCAGTTGAAGCCGAGCCTGGATAAAGAGAAAGATCCCATGGCCGGAATCATGGACTTGATGAAGGTGAGGTTACGAAACATGTACATTGTCAATACATGAAAAGTTAATACTGTATTTCTGCTCTGCTTTTGTTAATTATTGTATGCAACTGAACTTGTAGAACATGTACGAAGAAGGGGATCCGGAGATGAAGCAAACAATTGCCAAAGCGTGGACCGATGCAAGGCTTGGAAAAACCGGCTGATCTACCGAAGGGGTTTCAACTAATATGGAGCTGAGTCATTGTTTTTTAGTAGTTTTCTGTTGTTTATATGATCTTAATGCTCAGTGAGTTCTTTCGCGGTAGAATGGTTTGCTGTGTTGTTACGAAACTCTGTTGCACGTAGCTTTTCCAGAGTTATATATAAAAGATTGAAAGGATTTCATTTTATCAGAGCAGCTTGTGATGGCAACTCGCCGAGTAGCCCTAGTCTGATGTGTGTTTGTGGGATTGGAAGGGTGAATATTGCATTCTGGAATTTAGGGTTTAATTTTTGGTACGGTTCGACTGTGACTGATTGTGACATTAGGGTTTTGGTGTTTTTGAGGTATATGATATGTGGATGGTTTAGCATGTTGGAGTTAGGGGTGTTGAGCTTTTGCATGATGGCTAATAAACTTTATTGTTTGACAGAAAAAAGAAAAAAAAGGAAAAAAAAAAAATCCTCTCTACCAAACATGTAAGAAGAAGAAATGAACTTTGCTCAAATGAAACTCAAATCCAATGTTTTAGAAGGCGAAGCCTAGGCGTTTCAAATAATAAATTTCTTCACGAGGTGAGAAAACCTAACAACAAAAAAATGCCTCAGTCGCCCAGGGAGTTTAAGGCTACTCCGCCTGGGTAGAAGCGTTTTTCTCACCGCCTGGCCACCCAAAGGCCGCCCGGGCGCTGCCCAAGGCTGTTTTTTAAAACATAGCTAAAATATACCAACTGGAAAACATGAACGGAGTAAGGCAAAAGAACTTGTAACTTTGGTGCACTGTGGGAGCACAAACTTGAATTTGAAAGATTAAAGCCAATCCCGACTAATCTGTTCTTACATCAACTCGGAATCACAAAAATCAGAATCGTAGAAATACAAAACAAATAACCTAATTCAACTGAAAGAAGCAAACTTTTTATTCGGTTTTACACTGAATCACCCTTCTCAGAACCCTATAAATGTGGAATAGGCAATGATAATCTAGTCATCTCCAAAACCACGAAAAGTACATCTAACCATACAAGACGATGGATTGGGTGCCGTCATTGGAGTATTTGACTACCGTAATCTGCATTGAACTTCTCGTAACGATGAGCTTGGAGATGAGCAGACGGCCTTGTGTTCTTCAAAGCCGTCTCAATATCTTCGGGTTTGATCGGTCCAACCTTAGGCAGTTCTGCAACCACAAACATCAGAATTGCAGGGCTTGAGTTTATGTTAAACTTAGATACATCTAATTTTTGTTAAATATTGAAAGCAACTATTTTTTAGAGTCACATACCATCCTCAGGAACCGTCTCCTCTTTGTCTTCAAGGAATGTCATTACGCGTCTCAAGGGCTGCATGGCAGCCTCCTTGCAAACCAATCGAATATCCGAACCTGAGTATCCTTCTGTCCTATCTACCAACAAATCATAAGGAAGTTTCTCCTCATCAGGCTGTGCTGGCAGGAGCTCCTCAAACATGGCTCTTCTTGCTTCTGGTTCAGGCAGAGGCACAAGAATCTAAATTTTCATGGTTAATGGGAAACTCGAATAAAATAGCTGGCTGCAGAATATGCTTGATCATGCAAAAAAAACTGCCCCGTATTTTGATACCTAGCTAGAAGAGAATGCAGACAAGGGAAAATTGATGTGATACCGTAGTTGAACCTTCCCGTGTTCTATACCATAATCAACCCCAAGATGATCCTACATCTATTTCGACATCTGTAATATCCTGGCATGTAGTAACTAGCATTCAACTAACTCGTGCGCTGTTAATGATTGTGAAACTATGATTTTATTCAGACCTAGGAGATTGTAACCAAGTGTATAACATGATATGCCAATAATTACAACATCCATGGTTTCCATGCAGTTGACTTGGAATCCATGCCTAAAAGCATTCAATTACAGTTAGTTACAATTGACGGATATAATTGGGTTAGTTTCAAAAGGATACTCGCTTCTCAAGACGCCGGAGCATGGCTGCATCCAGTTCCCAGGGAAGATTTGTTGCAGCCAAAACAAAAACAAGTTCACTTGTCTTCGTCAAACCATCCATCTGCAATCTAGTACAAGCTAATCAATTTTTGAACACACACAGTTGACATGTACAAAATTGGAATATCCAACAGTGGGTCTGATGCTCGGAACCAAGACAATTAAAAGTTCTAAGCACAGTGTTAACATAGTTTTCAAATGTTATAAACTGATACGAAGCAGAAAACATGATTCTGTTATCTACACAGTAACATATGATGGAAGAGAACACAAAGAAAGCAGCAATCTTTAAAAACAAACATCACCTGTACGAGTAGCTCTGTCTTCAGACGCCTACTTGCTTCATGCTCACTTCGTCCTTCACCACGTTGACTAATAATTGCGTCAATTTCATCAATAAATATAGTTGATGGTGCATGGTGCCTAGCAAGCTCAAATAACACCTTCACTAACTTCTCTGAGTCGCCTGAAAAATCATCAAAATTCAAGGAAATATTAAACGGATAGGAAGCTCAAATAATAAGGTGGCAAATTTGGACCCTACTAAATTCTTCCCCATCCATTTTATGACAAATAAGCCACAAAGAAGCATGACCTTCAGAAAATTGTTCAACCTAACATACCACGCCATTTACTGACAACGGACGATGCTGAAATGTTGAAAAATGTGGTCTTGCACTCTGTTGCAACAGCCTTGGCAAGCATTGTCTGCAACATCAGACGTTAAATTAATTTTTGTCCAAAGTATCATTGTAAAAGATTAACTGGGGTTGTGCATCAAATGGACTCTGGAAATTCATCTTCATTACAGAGGAAGTTTTTCGAAAGAACTCATTAACAAATTAATTTTACAAACCCATCTCCCAATCCCCCACCCCCACCATAAGCACTTCATCAAGGAAAGGTACAAACGCATTAAGGATAACAACTTTTCTTGGGTAAGCAAATAGAGGAGCAAATATTGTATAACGAAAGCACGGAAAAAGAAACATAAACAATCAATAGGCTTGGAAAGAATTACAAACCTTTCCCGTCCCTGGAGGGCCAAAAAGGAGAATACCTTTCCACGGTGTTAAAAGTCCAGTAAAGTACCTACGGAAAATAGAAAGATCAGTTTGACATTGGAATGATTTTGCATCATGCCATCATTCATTCTGGTTGTTTTAAAATTTTATTCCAAATTTCCAGACAAATAGCTGCAAGAAACTGTATCAAAATATTCTAGCATATATTGATTAATTTAGCTTAACATGAAGAAAAACATTTGGTACTCCATGAATTTAAAGAATTTAGCATGAACACGATTAAATTAAGTTAATATTGGTTTCAATCTCACAGAAAAAAGGAATGTAAACTGAGACCATGGTTCACTAGTAGACAACTAGCAATGCAACAATCTTATTCTTTTAAACTTTACGAACAAAAAATAAAGGAGTAACATAAAAATACAAGAACAAACATGTGTAACTGTGTATAAAATAAGTACATGAGGTGCTCATTAACCAGACGTACTTGGGATATTTAATTGGCATGACCACAGCTTCTTTGAGCAAACGCTTGGCATTCTCTAATCCCTTGATGCTTTCCCACTTAACATCTGGACTACCCCGAACTATATCCCTGCACAAGACATGATAAATTAATGACAAAACTTTCAGGGTGCAACTGTAATCATCCTTTGCCACCGGAAAAAATATATGCAACAACAGTAACTTGTATTCCATCATGTGAAGTCATTCGTGTAAAATCACCTGCATAAACTCTCTCCTAAAGAACGCATTTCTGTCGATTCAAAAGCAGGTAAAAGGGACTTCTGCCTGTGGAGTCCACAAAAAAATGTCAGTAGGTTCTTAAAGGAACATTCTTCAATGAAATTTAATACGACAAACGTAAAAATGTCATAACATTACTTAACTAATGATAGTTAATACAAGACATCCAATAAGAAAAGTTGTGAGAAATCATACGGTATCTCATCATGCTGATCAGATAAGACTCCATTTGAGGGAGTCGCGGAGCTCCTACCCTGAAAAACAGACAAAATCGAAGAACAAATGAATCCAACTGTACAAAGTCCATGCAATGAATCAAATCCAATACACCACGTGATAAGATGAAATCCACTACCTGGTTTTGAAATTGCTCATAGATGGCCAAGTCAGCTGTTCTCTTCACATGACCATTCCCATTCGGAGTCACGCCGGAACTACTCCCATTACTCACAGCTCCATCAGTGGATTGCCCGTTTTGCTGCGGCTCCGGCGCTCTCTTTCTACCAAACTTGGCATCATAAAACAATTTAAAATCCTAAAAATACAAATAATTTTAGCTGAGATAAGTCTACGAATTCTTGATTCAATCCTACCCATCAGATCAAGATTCGCAACTACACAATCTCAACAACCAAAATTTAATCCAAATCTACTCAACTCTAAGTATATAATTAATCCCAAAACAAAAAATTATATTAGAATAAATTTGAGATCAGTGAGCTCATATTTGTGAGCAGAGAAAACAGATGCAAGCAGAACAAACAAAAATAGAAATTGGGTTTCTTCAGTTTCTAGTTCCAACCCAGAAAAAGCTAACAGCCACTCTACTCATAGTTTCCTTCAAGTCTCACACTTTTAAAGTCAATTATCCAATCAACCAATATTTTCCCGGGAAACAAACAGAAAATGGTAAGAGAATTGGTGAGTGGGTACCTGAAAGGACCAGCGAGTGGGAGCAGGCTCGTCGGACATTGCTCAAACAAATCTGGAGCGGAGAAAAATGAGAAGAGAAGAGAAAAAGGAGAGACTTGTGGAGATCTCTCTATCTCTCTCAGCGTCTCTCTGTCACTCTGGTGAATTATTATACAGCTAAAAAAAATTTAAAAAAAAAACCATGTAGAACAAAACGCACGTGTGATTTCTGAATTTTCATTATTATTAAATTGAGAAAAGTTCGCCATTTATTTTTTTTTTTTTTCGGTGAAATGATTTTGGGGAGGTTTGGTTTGGGGTTTTAAGTGTGTCAGTCTCACTCTCGTTTTAAACAAAAAAGCTAAATGGTCTTATAAACTCTAACTTTGGACATTGTAAAAGTAAAATCAATGGATAAAAACAGAAACGATAGTTGAATTTGAGTTGGTCAACTCTACACGATATAAAACATAAGTAATCTAAAATTACATTAGTAGTTGTAAACTTTAAAAAATATAA